GTACATCTGATGTCTGAAGAGCCATACTTTTCAGCTAATGTTGACTTATTTGCAGCATGTGTTTGCTAGTTTTTAGAGTGGTTGTCTACACTGCTGTCATTGTTTGTTTTTCTCACTTTGGCTATTCACACATATAATCCATTTTTTGTTCTATGAATTTTACCATCTCTAATTTTGTTGCTTTAATTTGTTTGTGGGGGAATGAAAAATTTCAGCATCAAAATTGAAAGAAAAACCTATACTTATTCCATATTCTTTTGCTTATTATATTTTTAATTTTTTGATGTACAATGACAACTAGAAACAGCTTCTCACAAATATCCAACCATGGTATTTACCAAACTGTCATTCTGGTTGATGTACAATGACAACTAGAAACAGCTTCTCACAAATATCCAACCATAGTATTTACCAAACTGTCATTCTGGTTGATGTACAATGATAGCTAGGAACAGCTTCTCACAAATATCCAACCATGATATTTACCAAACTGTCATTCTGGTCGATGTACAATGACAACTAGGAACAGCTTCTCACAAATATCTAACCATGATATTTACCAAACTGTCATTCTAGTTGATGTACAATGATAGCTAGAAACAGCTCTTCACTCATATCCAACCATGGTATTTACCAAACTGTCATTCTGGTTGATGTATAATGATAGCTAGAAACAGCTTCTCAGGCTTAACTAACAAGTATGTCCTGTACATAAAATGATTTTCATTATGCTAATAAAAACCAATCTTTGTCAATATACTGTTAACTAACTATTATCTCAAAACTTTATGTTGTAGTATTTAATTTTTTTCAATATCCAGTAAACTTATCCCAAACTTTATAGTACCATGATTTTATTTTTTATTGTTTATCATGCAGTAGGCTTACCTTGAAACTTTATGATGTAGTATTTATAATGTTTTACCAGCCATTAAACTTACCCAAAGATTTATGATGCTATAATTTGTCGTGCCTAGTAGGCTACCAGTAAATTTTATGACTTTTGAAGCCATTATCACTGATTAGAATTATATCAGTAACTCTTGTAATTTGATTCTACAGCAACAAACACTCAGTGAAATAATAGAATACTATCCTGTAACAACAATTATTCAAATATAGGCTGTAACCACACTGACAAAATCTCAATCAAATAACAACCTGAAACTGTGTTAACTCACTTAAAATACACTGAGTATAAAACAGTAAGCACTAACTTAAATACAGTGTGAGTCTACAACAACAATGGCAACATAAAAAAACACCCTTGTCTGGAACAGCAAACACACTAATACAGTGTGAATCTACAACAAGTAGCAACATAAGTACACCCTTGCCTGGAACAGCAAACACACTAATATAGTGTGAGTCTACAACAAGTAGCAACATAAGTACACCTTAATCCTAGAACAGAAAACACAACAACAATAGCAACATAAAAAAACGCCCTTGTCTGGAACAGCAAACACACTAATACAGTGTGAATCTACAACAAGTAGCAACATAAGTACACCTTAATCCTAGAACAAAAACACTTTAATACATTTTAAATCTACAACAAGTAGCAATGTAAGTACACCCTTGCCTGGAACAGCAAACACTTTAATACAGTGTGAATCTACAACAAGTAGCAATGTAAGTACACCCTTGCCTGGAACAGCAAACACTTTAATACAGTGTGAATCTACAACAAGTAGCAACATAAGTACACCCTTCCCTGGAACAGCAAACACTTTAATACAGTGTGAATCTACAACAAGTAGCAACATAACTACACCTTAATCCTATAACAGAAAACACTAATACAGTGCGAATCTACAACAAGTAGCAACACAAGTACACCTTAATCCTATAACAGAAAACACTTTAATAAAGTGTGAGTCCATACAAACACACTCAGAGTTTGGAGTCTACAACACACATTCAAGTACAATCTGAGCCTATGATAACTAACACTCGTATAGACTGAGTACACAACAAAAAAACACAGTTTAAGCCTGTGACAAACATTCAAATGAAATCTGAGTTTACAACAACTACTCCATTACAGCCTATATACATATATTTCCAGTTAATACTAGTTTGTGGTTGAGTGATAAGAAAATAAACAATATTCTATGACAAATTAATGTTAAATAAGATATATTTTTAGTGAAATGAAGTTATGTCTTATTTTTACTGAATTCAGTGTTTGTTTAAACATATATTTTATTTAGCAACATTGATTTGTTTTTGTTTTATCTGCAGGAAATTGAAAAATGGTCTTTACTTTGGGGTAATGACAACAATATAGGCTCAACTATGAGGTTATTGTTCACAAGTTACTGATGTTATATCTCAGAAGAACTTCTCGATGTTTGCCACCTCAGAGACTTCTGTTGCTCTGTTTTGTTGTGCTGGTTAGTCTCATCATAGGTTATCAGCTTGGAAAACTTCAACACCAGTTGGAACCTCATGTTCTGAGAGAGAGTAAAAAGACTGAAAGTTTTCTTGTAGTGTTGGTTTTCTCTGCCCCAGAGAACCTTAACAAAAGAGAAGTGATCCGTCAAACATGGCTTAACACTTACAGAGGAAAAGAAGTCTTGCATTTGTTTGTGATAGGAAAGGCTATGATTAGCCCTGATGTCTGGAAACAGCTAGAAGTTGAGAACAGTAAATATCAGGATCTACTACTGCTTGAGGATGTCAAAGACTCATATTTTTCTCTGACCTCAAAACTTTTATCAGCTTTAGCATGGCTTTCAGAAAATATTTATTTTAGTTACGTCTTCAAAGCAGATGATGACACTTTTGCACAACTTGACATCATGCTTGATGAACTGAAGAGAGCTTCAGCATCTCTCTATTGGGGATTTTTTGATGGTCGAGCACGTGTAAAGCAGTCCGGTAAATGGGCAGAGAGAGACTGGGTCTTGTGTGACTTGTATCTACCCCATGCCCTTGGAGGAGGCTATGTACTTTCCTCTGATTTAGTCAGTTTTGTAGCTAAGAATAAGGAGTTTCTGACACTTTACAAAAGTGAGGATGTGTCTCTGGGGACGTGGTTAGCTCCAGTGAATGTCCATCGTAAACATGACCCACGGTTTGACACAGAGCACATTTCTCGTGGATGTTTCAATTCTTACATTGTAACACACAAACAGAGTGTGGAGCAAATGAAAGAAAAATATAACAGCTTAAAACAAAATGGTAAACTGTGTGCTCTAGAGGTTCGGAGTCGTTATTCATACATATACAACTGGGGAGTTCCACCTTCAAAGTGCTGTGTTAGGAATGAAACAAAAATACCTTGATATTGAGTAACTTAATTGAAATTCAAAACCTTCAAATTTAAAAAGACTAATGAGTGATATGAAAGAAAGTAAAAATGCAGATAAGGGACATTTAATACAGTATTCTGTGTGTCAATATATCAAGTTTCTTATGGAGTATTTCAGAAATATTGATGTGTTGAACTATCTGACATTTAACTGGATATTTTCTTTTCTGCTGTTTATTATTTCAATTTGTTTCCTAGAAGGTTAGAACTTTTTAAAGCTTGTCATATCTATGTCTAGTTAGATCTATAACTTTAAATCAGGGATTTTGAAGCAGCAGTTGCATAGCATGTAAGTGTGTGGTTGATAAACAGCAGTTGCATAGCATGTAAGTGTGTGGTTGATAAACAGCAGTTGCATAGCATGTAAGTGTGTGGTTGATATACAGCAGTTGCATAGCATGTAAGTGTGTGGTTGATAAACAGCAGTTGCATAGCATGTAAGTGTGTGGTTGATAAACAGCAGTTGCATAGCATGTAAGTGTGTGGTTGATAAACAGCAGTTGCATAGCATGTAAGTATGTGGTTGATATACAGCAGTTGCATAGCATGTAAGTGTGTGGTTGATATACAGCAGTTGCATAGCATGTAAGTGTGTGGTTGATATACAGCAGTTGCATAGCATGTAAGTGTGTGGTTGATATACAGCAGTTGCATAGCATGTAAGTGTGTGGTTGATAAACAGCAGTTGCATAGCATGTAAGTGTGTGGTTGATAAACAGCAGTTGCATAGCATGTAAGTGTGTGGTTGATAAATAGGTTCTTTTAGTTTCTAACATTTGTTGACTAAGAAGCTTTCAACTTAGTTCCTGGTGAGTAATAGCTTCCCAAATTCCCATAATCTTAGGTTTTACAATTTATTTTAGTAATTGTCATGAGACATTCCAAGGAATGGCTTATATATACTCATTATGTATTATATCAAATGATATAGTCCAGAAGCCTAGATAATTATCTGATGTTGTACATATATTTCATTTAGACTGTAATGTATTCATATTAGCCTTTAACTTGAAATATGAAGAAATAATTCTTATTTAATATAGTGCTAGTGTAAATGTGATGTTTTTTTGTAGATCAAAACAAAAATAAAAAAATACAAAACTTCTTGATATTTAGTCTTATGTCATTTTACTTTTTTAGAAGCTTATATTTCAGATGTTAAATGAATGTCAGTGATACATAATATATGTAATTCTTGATCTCAAATTTGTGACACATACTAAATGTTTTTGTCAAGAAAATCCATTGGTGGCTCTATTCTTGATGATCCTCTGGAAGTGGTCTTTACAGGCACTTCTGCATGTAAATTCTTCTCTGAAGCTATCCAGTTGGCCATTCTCTCACTGATGCACTTCCAAAGGTGATTCAGATGAATGACCCCTGACTTGGGCTACCTGCTCTTCTGTAAACCACATCATTGTTTCTTTTCAGTACAATGTGTGGTACTTCCCAAAACATGCAACAAGAATCATTCAACCATACAATGTCACCTCAGTGAAATCCAGTCTTATCAGCATTAACATCATAGTGACTTCTCATTACAAGCCGATTTATATATGTTCCAGGTAAAGTTGTGTATGACATCTTTATTCTTCAAATCCACAAGAGCTCTTCCAACTAACCATCACTCCTTCAGGATATACCACAGTGTTTGGTTCTACTATGCAGATTTATTCATGACTCTGGTATAACTACCATAGTCTGTAAAGTTGTTTTAAACTAGCCTAACCTCACATTCATGTCTCTGCAGGAATTGCAGTCTCTCTCAATGCCAATCACCCATGCATTGCAAGGTGTAGGGGTAGCTTTCCTTTTACTGGAACTTTATGGCCTTCTACTGTTTGCATCAATCCATCTTTTTTCTTCATCTCTGGAGGTAATTTCCCACTTTTCATTACCAAATCAGATTGAACAGTTGCAGGTGTAGAAGTAGTTTCGATCAATGTGCTGCAAGGATTTTCCTCAATAATCCCATGGATTAAGAGGTAACTTTCTTCTGATAATGAACTTCTTAGCACTTTTTGGGCAGATGGACTTCACACCCAAAATCTAGCTACCTTCTGTTTTTTAATATCTGGTTTGCTTTTTGTTATTCTTTTGATTTGATTGGGCTCTGAGGCACATCTTCAGGGTATTGTTTCCTTGGTTTAATAAAAACTTTTGATTTCTTACAGTCCTGAGATTAATGGCTAGGTTTCACATGTATAACAGTTCTCTCTTTCTGGTATTTTTTAGAAGGAGTTCTTATTCCATACAGGCTTTTGTCTGCAATTCTGGGCAGTATATCCTTTACACTTAAGTTGTTCATTGTTTTGTAGTATATTTCTTCTGTTTTGTCTAACTAATTATGTCAGTTCTTCGTCAGGGAGAGTTGGTGTTTCAGTACTACTCAATTTTAGAATCCTGTAACTTCTAGATGATGTCATTAGTAGTTCATTTATGACTTTAATGGATTCAAGTTCCGTTACCAACTGGAGAGCTTCCTTTAAAGATATGCATGTACTTTGTTTCAGCCCAATTCTCATATCCTTGTCTTCTTTGGCATCTGTAAATTGGTCATGTGCAAGTGAATTCATTATTTCAAGTGAAGTAGCCAGATAAAGTATTTGGACAGACCTTTCAAAATCTTTAACAAAGTATTGTAAGATCTCTTCTTTACTCTATACCCTGATCTGGAACTTTTCTTTGGATACTTCTTTCTGGTGTGTCATTCTGAATATATTGCATAAAGAAGCTACCAGTGATTGATAGTTGTTATGGTTCTCAGCTGGAAGAATGTTTAATGTTGTTAAAGCTGATCATTTTAAATGGGCAGCAAGATGAATAGTTTGTTGTTCACTATTTCACTCATTCACTATGAAAATTGTTTCAAACTGAGGCTGATATGCTTCCCATGATACCATTCCATTATAGTACATTGGTTTCTCAATCAGGCAATGTTGATGAATTGGCTAGCTAAATTCTGGAAGTAGATGTGGTAGTTACATAGCTAGATTAGTTCAGAAAGGTCCTGCATTTACAAGTAGCACATTAATGGTGGTCAGGAATGGATTGGGGGTCAAACAAGCCTGGACCTTAATTTTTCGATGGGGCCTATTCTGATTGAAACTAAAGGCTAAGGTAAAAACACAAAACTCAACCTTGAGATATATTTTACTTTTAAGAGACAATGAGAAAATAATACCCTCAGATTTGCAAGACTCATCTACAAATTAGTGGACAATCTTATATGTTTCTTGAATATGAAAGTGATGTTCTGACACAGATAGAATATGCATTTGGATGACAAAGCATATAGAAATAAATAAACCATGTATGCACAAACACTAAGATCACACTGATACTTGCTTGCATAGTATGTTTTGCAGTGATAGCAGATCATGTCATCTGTACTTGGTAAACTACTATCTTCCTGGTTCATTTTGTAGCAAAGGCAGTTATGATCAATTTGGTGTCAAGCGATTCTAACAAGTCATTTTGTGTGCAAAAAAAGTGCCAGTGCACTTAGCCTGTTATTGCATATTGTTGATTGAAAAATGATCTTTCTCCTTTTTAACATGAAGAACGATATTTCTCCCAAGCAATTGCTTGACATGAAGTGCAGGTACATCCTTAAGATTATTTGGATGTTTGGAAAAGTTAATTTCATATATTTATCACATATAATGTTCAGCATACATTATTCCTTAGATTCTGATGGTTTGCAGGGGGTGGCCAATTGAACAACTTCAAGTCAGTAGGATATGTACTAATAAGCTCTGTAGACATGGACTCTCAAGTTTTTGTAGAACCCAACTTTGCAACTTACATCTTTATATATCACTGTTCAGTTGTCTAGTGGAAGTGACAGTTTATGTCTGGAGTAGAATCAACAGATACTGAGGATGTTTCAATTTCCTGGATAATGGCAGTGAACACTTCTTTGTGTAGTTTGTGGATGTGCTTAGCAAGAAATGTATCATATTCAGCCAATGGCTCCAGTATTCCTAAGTAATTACCGTTTTTCACTGAACCAACTACTTCATTGCCTCTTCTGGATGATAGAAACTTAAGGACTGAGTTAACATTCTCTATAACTTAGTTCCAGAGTTTTACCTCTGACTCCATCTGCCCAGTCAAAGTATTGTCAATTCATCCACTTTTAATTTTATGAATAATAAATTTGGTGATGCAGTGAGCTTGTTTCATGCCAAATAAAGTTCCTTGCAGCATGTTGCAGTCAGAGTAAACACTTGTTGCTAGTGAAGAAATTTCCATTGCTGTTGAAAACAATTTGCATATAATGCAAAAGATATTTCCATTTGATGGTGAGTAGCAAAGCCAGTGTCTTTTAAAGGGATTTTCTCCATTCAATTGCTTGCAATAAAAACTTTTTAGAGCATTGGCATTTATACTTGACACCCAGAATCGATTTTGTAGATGCACAGAAATCCACATCCATGTACTGGCAAGAGGTAATTCTAGTGCACAAACAAGATCTCCCATTTTGTCAGACATTTGTGTCCATGTCCCAATGTCGAATGTAAAAGATGGGTTAGTATTGTTATGACAGCGGAAGTCACAGGACTTGGAAAGTATAGCACACAAGGCCTACCCAACTGCACCACCCGATCTCCTCAAGTTGTTGCTGAGGGATCAGTTCATAGATGCCTTGGACAGTACACAACTGAAGATACAAGTAAAGCATGCACACCCCTCTACTATGCAGGATGCAATGGCCAGAGCTCTCGAATTTGAATCCTACGTTAAGTCCAGCACAGAGGTACCAAGGTTGGTACAGTCATCAGGATTCAAGACCAGAAAAGGTCAGCTTTCAGAGAGGTTTGAGGGACCTTGCTGGCACTGTAACAAACCTGGGCACAAGAAAGCTCAATGCCGGCAACTTCAACACAGGGAAGATGCCTTGGAATGAAAGGCTGCTACCCAGAAAGGCTGTGGAACTGTGGGGAGCAAGGACATCTGAGGAGCC